AGGGGAGGGAAGGGAAAGGAAGAAACACACACACACACACACACACACACATAAACTCTACCTCTAAATACAAGAAATATAAACAGAATATGTAGTCCAAGTGTTCAAATGAATATACTATTTACAAAAGAAACAAAATTGTATTAGATATCTAAAGCCTAAATCTAACAGGAAGACAGGAAAGAAGCATATGGAAATAATTATAGCAGTTTACTGAAACACATAAAAGAACATTCTCTATAAAAGAAAATACAGTCATTGTTCCTTGACAAGACTCAGTTCTATGAAGATATGAATTCCACAAAAAAAGCTGATCTATAGTATCAATATAATTCCAGTACAATATAATGGACTCTGGAAGCCAGTCTGCATGGGTTTAAATCCTGACAGCTATTTATTATGTGGCAGTGGAGAGATTATTTAAATTGGTTATTCAATTTTCTCATATATATAATGGAGACAATAACAGCACATAGCGTATCTACTTTAAAAGGCTATCAAGATTACAAGAGTATGCCAACAAATTTACTGTTCTTTGTTGAAGGTGGCATATAAGCCAGGTTTTCCAAACCTGCTCTCTGAGAACTACTTGTTTCCTGGGTATCACTTGTCGCATGAGGTGTTTTTCTCATATTAACCTGTGTTTTGTTAATATTTAGTTTTGTCAATGTTTTGTTTTGTCCTAAGAACTATACAGAGAGAAAAAATTTTTTTTCACCCCCTTATATGTTGAACTGCTTCTAAACTGTTCTTTCCCCCAATCCAAGAAAATATCACTGCCATCCCAACCTTTGTACACATCCTGCAGTTCCACAATTTCCTTATGCAACAGGGAGAATGGAGCTTTTCCAAATATATATCTAGTAATTTCACAACTAAGCATAAAATTGGCTCCTCCTCACATTTCTCTGAAAAAGCCCCAAATCCACAGCATATATAATAGGAACAACCAGTTTTACTCCATTTCATTTTATGATGCTTCAAAGGTAACTTTTTAGAAACTGGAGGTTTGTGGCAGCCGTGTCAAGCAAATACCATTTTTTCAACAGAATGTGCTCACCTGGTGTCTCTATTCTCACAGTAGAGTGTGCTCTCAAATTACAACCAGCCTCATGTACAAACAACTTGGATTATAACCAGAATTATAGTTTTTAACTTATAACCAGTCTTGAATTACAACTTGAATGCTGGTCACTTGTGTGACTGTAAACAAAGACTTGCAATGCCAGAAAACCATATGTAAACCTAGGTAAGTGTCAAGTCTGAGACCAGATGGTATGTTTGTGGATGTAATTTTGGTCAATGCTTTATATAATCACTACAATTACTACTATCAAAATAGCACCCAAAAAGCTAGAAAAAACAGCTAAGGAAGGAAGGGAAGGCAAAGAAAGCAATCACAATAAAAAATTTGTGAAGTTCAATTAAAAAAAAATTTGTGAAGAAATATCAGAGTGGCATTAAGTGTGACTAATCTTGCTAATATGTACAGCGTGTTGAAATCTACATCTTGACAATCTTACTGAAAAAAGATTTGCATAAGGAAGCTAGTGTTGCTAAAGGTGTTACTTAAATTAGTAAGTCACCATCGATAGTATAAGAGGAGGTAGAAAACATGGATAAACAAAAGGCAGATGGCAGGTTGTAGCCCGAGTCTGTAATGTGTGAAAAAGCTAGGTCTATAAATGCAATCTCATAAAGGATTATCAATCAACAAGTGAGAATAGTGAAACATTTCATGCCAGTAAGGGGAGGTTGTACAATTTTAAAGCAAGAACTGAGGTACGTTCACAGCATAACTAGGCACACCCACAAGATTTGGAAGGACTGGATGAAAAATTTCCATGGCTCTCAGATGAGTTTTTCCCACCTAATCTAACTCCTCTATTGCTGTCTATGGACCAGCAGGTCATAACTACATTTAAGAAGTTGTACATCAAGGAACTTTTCCTGAAATACTTCCAGATGGTCTCAGGTACAGATTTAACCCTCAAAGAGTTCTAAAAGGAACATTACAACATTCTTTCCTGTGTGGGATTAAGAAATCTTGGGCCAATGTCCTAAGGACACTGAGATCTGCCTGGAAGAAAATGTGGCTTATAATTATACAAGAGAGACTTTTAAAGCTGTGTATAGAGGAGTCTGAGCCTTTAACTGACCCTGTGGTTGAGGACACTGTCACTAGAGCAGATGCAGTTAACAGTGGTGATGTTCAGGAAGCAGTAGAGGAACACACAGAAGAACTGTCTACAGAGGAACTTTAGCAACTTCTGGCTGAGCAACAGAGAATGGAAGCAGAGCTTTCTGAAGCAGAGGGAGAGTATCAATAATCAATGCAACAATGTTCTTCTGAAATAAAGGAAATCCTGAAACAAATGGACAGAGCTACAAACATTTGTAGACAAGACCCACCCAGATAGAGAGCCAATCACTGCATTCACTTGCTTAATGACAATGTCATGTCATCCTAGATAACAGTTAAAGAAAAGACAGAAATAGACAACCTTAGACCAGTTTTTAGTTTTGAAAAGGTTGAGACCTAGTAAGCCAAAGCAGGTCCTACAGTAGGGAATTTATCTAAGTTATATACCACCTGCCTCACAAGCGCAAAGTCCCGAGTTTGATTCCCGATACCAAAAATAAAAAAGGCAGATCCTAGTGGGTTACAGACTCTCCCAAGAGAGAAAGGACACCAGAGAGACAGGTTCTTGATGTTCTTATGCAAGGGGACTCTCCTTCCAAACAATAACCACCTTCCATTTCATCCTCCCTGCCTGCAAGCCAAAGATGTCAATTTGAATGGTGAGTACAGTACAAAATTGTTGTTTCTGGTAAACCAGGCACATTTATAGTTATAATAGTGAATACACTAGGAAAATTATTGATGTTTCTGATAAATTACACATATTTTATAACCCTTTATTATGGAAAGGATTGGTTAAGGGGTGCTTTGAGAGGTTCAGAACACATTGTGGTATTTCCATTATTTTTTATGGGAAAAATAGACTTGACTTCAACCAACTTGAGTTACAACCAGTCCTTATGAATGGAGTTCATAATTAAAGGGTCCAATATATTGCCAATCTTTTCAATGTGATTAGATCTCTTATGGTGATCTGTGCTCAGTGATCTTTGATGTTACTAATGTAATTATTTTGGGATGCCACAAACTATGCTTAATACTATAAAACGGAAAACTTAACAGATATACATACTCTGTCTCCTCTACCAACTGACCCTTCCTGTCTTGCTCCTTTCTATTCAGATCTCCCTATTTCCTGAAACACACCAATACTAAAATGAAGCAAATTTATAACCCTACACTGACCTTGTAAGTATTCAAGTAAAAAGAGTTGCATAATAAAATTGTTATCAGAAGCCCTTAAAATAAATAAAGTTGTTAAAAGTGAACATGAAAGAGGGTCTACAAATGATTCAGAAGAAAGATTCAACTAGGGAAGGGAAAAAGAAAAACAGGTTAGTTTGACTCTATGATTCTACGGACAGTGAAGACTGAGACAAACTGGTGACAAATCTTAAATCATTTTAGGAAAAAGCAAGATACAAATATCTGTTGTGCCATTTATTAATTTTTAAAGTAAAATGATATAAATGGTAATTTTTCTATTAAGTTAATTTGACAGATATATAAACTCAGTTACTCTTTCACTTGACACACTGTAATTACTCTGTAAGATGCTATTTTAAACCACGGGATCATGTTGTTATTATTTTAAAAACACTTAAGTACTTTAATGATTGAATCTAGACAACTAATTACGAATCTGAATCTTGGTAACTAGTAACTTACCATTGCCATATGGAAATGCACGTGCAGAACGACTATCATAACCAGAGGAATGTCCACTGTTGAAGGGAAAAATGTATTTATGTGTCTTTGCAAATACATTCTGAATTTTAATCATTAAGCACAGATAGAAAAACAACAAGGCAAAATAATAACTTTGTTTGTTAGAGGTAGGGTCTCACTATGTTGTCCAGGACGGCTTCAAACACCTGGCTTACATAAACCACCCATATCAACCTCGTGAGTAGACAAGACTACAGGTGCATACACCTGAGCCAAGCAAAATTGAACCTTTTATTCAACCACCATTTAATGATAAGCTTTAATTTTACAATTTTATTTTTAATAGAGAAACCATGAATAATAAACTCAAATTGACTTGGCTTCCAGTGAGATAACAAAGTAACATTGAGGAAAACATAGCATTTGAAATTTAAAAACTAATCTTAAAAAACCTGGTTCTAATAGTTATAAATTGGTAATTCAACTACACTGACATGATCATCAAGTACTACACTTTTTAACATTTTTGAGAAATAAGTGTGATCATTTCCTTTGAAAACGGTATGCATGGTTCCATGTTACTAAGTTTTCATAATTTCAGTACTTTTTCAGAAATACACTATTTTTAGATGTATTTGTCTCTTAAATGGAAATAACAGTTAACTTCCATAAATTAGTGATTCCATCTGCCACGAACTGTGCTGGTACTTTTATCATTAGCTATTTTAATTTTCACAACTTTAACAACCCCTGTGGTATAAAAGAGTCTCAAGAAGGTTATGAGCTATTCCTAACAACACTGTGATTCAAATCCATTGCTGTTAAACACAACACTGATACCCATGAGGGAAATATTCTTCAGTACAGCATCCTAGCTAACATAAACCTTAAGTACAGAGTATTTAAAAATACTGCAGAATGGATCCAAGTCTTCCTTATCAAAGTTGAGATGCAACAAAGTAGCAAAGAATAAAGCACTTTTTCCTTTTTATTAGGGTCCAATAACAGTTGTTCTATGTAATCCACAAAAAAACATGTATTATTCATGATTTCTAGTAAATTGTTTGTATTTCCCCCCAAACTGACTCTAGTCAAGTTTTTAATAATCTAGAGGATTTTTTAAAATCAGAGTGTTACAAGTAAAAGCAAGATACAACTTCAAAATACTATAATTTGGAGCCAAGGATTTAGTTCAGTGATTGCGCTGCCTGCCTCACAAGTGCAAGGTCCTGAGTTCGAGCCCCGGTACCAAAAAAATGTATAATTTAACTTTCTTTCACCCATTTTGATATGAGGCTACAAGTCTAATATGTTATATAAAAGCAATTAACAGATTAGATTTATGAATGAAGAGGCAAGTGCTATGTTTACAAAATTAAATCTTTGAAATTACAGCAAGAATGTATATGTTTTTCTGTCAAAGGACTATCAATTATCAAAATTTCAGAGTGTCTATACTGATTTACCTTTCTATTGTTGGTATAAGAGATGGCGGTGGAGCGCCTGGTGGAGGAGGAAAACCTGAAACATTCAATCATAAGACAAAAAAATTAACAGAATTTGTATTTAATGTCGTAAGTGAAACAAAGTTGCTGCATATCACTAAATTTCTCTGAGGACATAAACGTGCTTCTCTATGTTATAATGGACAGAAAAAAATGGAGCTTAATTTACAAACAGATTTTTGGAGCAATAAAAATTTTAATGAACATTCTGGCCTAACACACAAAGCACAAACAAGGAGTAGTCAGGACACCTGGTCTTATTTTCAGCACCACACACAGCCCATTTTTTATGAGTATGAAAAAGTTAGTCTCAGTGCCTTACCTTTTCCATATAAAAAACAGCAGTAGTATTGTCACCAAATATGTTTTACTTGAAATATTTTAGAAGAAAAGCAAAGTAGCATTTACCTTTAAGAATATTTTGGGTTTTAGATAGAAATTTCCTTAACACGTATAATTTATGAATAAAATCTTACCAGTAAATATATAAATGCTTGAAGCTGAGAACATCTGCCATGAAATAAATTTTAAATAGCACAACCTCAAAAATGACTTTACAAAGAAAGGCATATATGGAATTCTGGATTAGTTTGAAGGAAAATAAATCTGCGCCTTATCAAGAGGTCTGCATTGTCAATAATTTGTAATACCTAAATACCATACCACAGATTATGGCTAAAAGGGATCCTTGCTAACCTACCTTGCACTTTCAAATTCAGATAGGCAATACAGTATTCCAACAAAAGACTTTAAAGATTCCAAACCTCATATGATACCAATTCCTTCCAAGTTTTTAACAACCCTCACTATTAGGAAGTGCATTAAATTATATAACTTAAACTCACACTACAATTCATATGCTGTCTGAATGAGGACAAGTACTCCATTGATGTATTCTCTATTGGCTACATATATGAAAACTCTTCCACTAAGCCGCCCTTTTTAGCACTCTATATAAAACTGAGTCCAAGTTCCCTATATCTCTTCTCAAAAATTCCACTTAAATAAATGTTTTGTCCTGTTTCAAACTATTTCAAGTTTACCATGCTCTTTACTCATTTTGGACCTATAACTCCTCTATTAAACAGCAATAAAAGCAGAAAATTTGGCAATTACTACATTAGTCCTCGAGTCCACAATCCTATGTTACGCAGTTTCACAACCACATTGCTTTTTAAATTAAAAAAAAAAAAAATGCACCAATCCCTTTGACTTTCCCTGGTAAGACTCTTGCATCCACATTCACACACAATCTGTGACCCTGTCCCCATATCTAAATATATACACTCTGCTATGCAATATGAACTTTACTATTTCTGTTTATCCAGGTCATTTTGAATTTAGACTCACTCTTCCAACCATCACCACGTATTCTCTTCATACCCCCTGGCTGTTAATACTGAACTCAGTAAACACACTTGCTAATATGGTTTGCTATGGCACAATAAAAATAAACAACTGATAAAAATGTAAAAAACAAAACCAGGCCACATAAAAGCTCCTACAACCATGCCATCACAACAACAAACAGTTAATCCAACTCTAAGCAACCATCAGACCACTCATTAATTCATCCAATTGCTATAAGGTTCAAAACATATTTTCTCATGACATTGAGTTATACCAGTTGGATTTTAAAAATAAAAAAACTATGATAAAAGTCAAGGTAAAATTACTTTTCTCTTACAGTCAGTACCTTTTATCATCTAAAAAAACTGGTCTGAAAAAATGTTTATAAAAAAATTATTTTATATTCCATTCTGTTTTCTTCACAAATTGATAAGGTGAGAATTTTCTCAGAATATTTCCAAAGAAATGGGTAAGACAGGTGAAGAGAACTAAGTATCTTAAAACTGAAATGAAGCAAAGGCAGAGCTGAAAATAGGACCTTGAAATCCCAAGAGCCTAGTTGATTCTAACCACATCAACACTGACCCTCCTGTAACTATGAGCTTGAAATTTCAAGTTCATTAACAATGATGGAGAAAACATGAAAAGAAGTTTTACCTGGAGGTGGTACAGTTATTGGGATACCTAAAAAACAAGTGATGAAATTTAATATAGTAACTGGATTTCAGAACCTGTTATGTATTTATGCCATCACCAAAACAAACTTTGAAATAAAACCCCTTGCCTCATTATCCTGGCTCAGTCACTCAAAAGAGAAGCATTCTGTTTTCTTGCAGACCAACAATTCAATGTAACATCCAACTTCCCTGATGAAAACCCAGTCAACAACTTGATAAAATTTCCCCTACTAGCTGTAATCACAAATGAAGTTAGACATCAGTTAAAAAGCACACTTGCGCATAGACAAATATCAAACTCCCTAACAATAATGCTAACTAAATTTGATAATCAATGCCTGATCTTGCTTTCTTAACATTTTGATAGGGAAACTGATCTGTGGGTTTTTAATACTGCAAATAGTACAAGGTAATTGAAAATTATGGAATTATTCACTTTTGTAAAGCACAAATGGACTACTGAAATGCTAAAGTTGTTTGACTACTGTTAGCAGGAGTAGGGCAATATTTAATATTTTCCTTAACTTGTATAAGAAGGGGGTAAAGCAAGTAATTCATATATACACACCCCCAGGACACATTAACATAAATGTGGATTATTTATTTCTATAAGCACCAGAAAATACTAATTCATTTGCACACATTATAAATTTTAATAAATTATATATGAACATTGTCAATTTACATTAGCCAGATGTGCCTTCAAATTTATTTACTAGTACTAAAATTAAAGTCTACTTTAAATTTAAGAAACACAAAAGGCAACTTATGTGACATACAAATTTTAACTTTCAGTTAAATTTAAAACAACTTTCTCACGAAAAGTTATGTACCATAAATATGTTCAACACACTTGGGAGTAGTAAATTCTATCTCTAAAATTGTATCAAAATTAGTACATAAGAGGGAGAATTTTAATTCATTAGCTAAATGTATGCAAAAAATGGGAACAATCACTTTCAAATGCTTTCGTGACAATGGAAACTTGCTAATGGTTTAGTTTAAAATGTTCTGACATGCATGTTTAACCAAAGTAAGAAGTTTATACAAAGATAGCAAATCACCTTAACACTTAGCCACTTGATTTAAGCACCAATGCACTAAAGGATACCCTAAGCTTACAAACCCAACAAAACTAAAAAATACATGTAAAGCAACCATCACATTAAAAAAAACCATTAGGATTCCACAAATCGACCCACCTAATCTACAATTGTAACAATTTTCATCCATCCTGAGGTTAACTTGCTTCTTTCCCAACTCACTAAAGAGTCCAGCAGACAGTACAAGCTAAGAGACTCAGATTCCAAACTAAATGGGAAAAAAACAAAAAACTAAAAACTAAACAGGGAAATTAAGGAAGTCAGAGCATGAAATGTTTTTAATATATATTACCTAGTTTTCTTTAGAAAGGTACAAAATTTTTAGAATACTACTAAACTTTGCTATTTTGCCTAGGTTTCAAATTTAAATACATACTTAAATCAAAATTAGCCACCCACTCCATGATACTATAATCCTAAATCTACCTAAATGAAGACATGAGCAGCTTATATTACTTTAGCTAATTCTTATTATAGCTTACCAAAAGGTGAAATCATGGGGGGGAAAAAAAACTAAGCAATTACTAGTCATTTCAAAAATAGTTAAGCTGTAAGACTGAAGAGAAAATAAAGTTTAGGGCAAATTCATAAAAATCACCTAGAACTAAGACTACAAACATAACAAAAGAAAAAAGCCATGTATAGATGTCTTTCCATCATTATTTATCTATACTACAAAAAGCTGCCATGGGCTCTTCTTGTGAAATCTCTATTTCATCTAAGATTGTATTTCAATATCAATTATTTTTGGTAAATGCTCATGGGAACAAGACTGCAAAGTAGATGAAGCATTATACAACCAATTTCCTGACAATTATCAAGAACATTTTCAAAATACAACTGAGAAACTTCAAACTATGACACAATGTAAGGCCAACAACACTGGAAAAAGAGTAGGGAAAAAATATCTTTTCCTGGAAAGCCTCCCTTAACAGTAGTAAAGCTAAGAATTCTAGTGGTGCCAACAATCTTTTGGAAAAGCAGTAATGAAACTCTAATACGCTGAAAACATTATACTGAAACTTAAGCCTGCATCAAGAACAACCTGGAATATTTACATAAATATTGCTAGTCTATTTTCTTAGAATTTCTGACTCTACAGTGGAACCACAAACTATGCGTTCCCACAAACTTCCCTTGATACGCCATGTCGCGGGCTTGGGACCATACTTAGAGAATCACTGGATTAGATTCTAAAATTCTCCCTAATTTCACTACAACAGAACTCAATACAGATGAAATATAACGTTCTTCCCAATTTTTAGCAGATGAAAGCAACTACAAATGACACTAAAGAGTAAAATAGTATGAGCCGGGGACTTAGCTCAGTGGTTCTACTACCTGCCCTCGCAAGCGCAAGGACCCAAGTTTGATCACCAGTACAAAAAAAAAAAAAGAAAAAGAGTAAAATAGTATGTGAACCTATACTATCTGGCACTCTCAGAAAGAGATGGAGAGAGAGAAAATTTAATTTTTCCAGTATATAAATGACTATATATGTATACTCTTAAACGAGAAAGGAAGTTGGGTGAGGGAAGATTGGAAAATCTACTTGGGGAACTGTGGCAAATTAACAGAAAGTCAGTATTCCTGAAAAAAACAAAAAAAAAAACCAGTATTTTAAAAATTTGAAAAAGAAAAATTTGCCTATATTAGAAATTTTCTTCCATAGTGGGCTGTGTAGTCACAAAAAAAACTGAATGAAAACTGTCTATAAACGCATTCTTCATGTATCCATAATTAATTTGTATAACTAAGGCAATGATCTCTGCATCCTGCCATATATGCCTTTGTATTTATCTCCTCCTCTGAGTATGGGCTGGACATTATATTTATAACACACGAAGCACAGCAAAAATGATACGATGTCACTTACATGATGAGGTAACAAAAGACAGCTACTTCTATTTTGCTGGTACCCTTTCTACTGCCATCTCAGCTTGCATGCTTTGATGACGAAAACTGCCATATTGCAGAAGACCACAGCCAAAGGGCTCTCTCAGCCCAACAGCCTAGAAGAAACCAAGTACTTTTAACAACAACAACATGAGTAAATTCAGAGATGAATCCTTCCTCAGGCAAAACTTTAGAGATAATTGTGAAGTCTGAGAAAGACTGAAGCAGAGAAACCAGTTAATCTGTTCCTAGATTCCTAACCAAGAAAAACTGCTCAATAACTATATACTATGTGAAACTATTACGTGCTAGAGTGATTTGTGATGCAGCAACTAAAAACCAATACCTATAATTACTACTTATCTCTAAGTTTAAAAAGAAAAAAAATGGAAGAATTTTGTGTATTTCTGCTTCCTATTTCTTACTAGTAAATTCCAAATCCTATGAAAAGTCTGATTACTTTAAGTCTCAAGATTTCTACTTCAACTTCAAAGATATCAACTTAAAAAATCTGCACAATAGGGCCAGGGATATTTAGCTCAGTGGTTCTGCCACCTGCCTTGCAAAAAGTGCAAGGTCCCAAATTCAATCCCCAGTACAAAAAAAAAAAAAAAAAAAGCACAATAAATTGAGTATAAAGTCCCACTTTGTAAAAATTGTCAAGTAACACCTTTTACCAGAAATGCTTTCTATACATCAAATTTTTAAAAATTAGACACAAAAACACATACACACATACATACATCTCAACTACCACTTACCCTCTTTAAAAAGCACTGAATGTAGAATACTATAAACCATTTCCTAATGATTAAAGCAATTAATTGTGAAGTACCAAAAATAGGATAAAAACCTCAAAGAAAAAAAATGCTACGGCTATAAAACTAAAAGCAACCAACCATCACATTTCATATCCAAAAGGCAAAAAATGGGCCAGGGATTTAGCTCAGTGTTTCTGCTACCTGCTTTGCAAGTTTAAGGTTCAGACTTCAATCTCCAGTACCAATAAGTAAGTAATGAAGTAAATAAATAAATGACAAAAAAGATAACTTTATTATTACTATGAAATGAACAGACTTTCATTTTTTAAGGATCACTGAATCCTCTAATTTATAAAATCTGCAGTCTGCATAAAAGAAAAATTCTATCTTAAAATATATTTGATAATTGTATTTTTATAGATAACATGTAAATTAGTTATCTTTACCAGCTGACGTATGATCACAAAGTGACTAAGGAATAGCATGACATCAGATATTAAGCTATAATTAGGGCTGGGGATTTAGCTCAGTGGTGCCACAGCCTGCCTCGAAAGCACCAAGGTTCTGAGTTCAATCTCCAGTACCACAAAAAAAAAAAGCTATAATTATGTTCTGTAAACTGCATTAGTAATGGTGTATTAAAAATATAACTACTATAAGGGGAGCACCCATGAAGAAGACATTCAAAACCAGGGTCTTAACGAAGCTTTTAAACCCTATGAAATTTGCATTTAAATTAATTTCAATTATGCCCCAAAATACTATTTACTGCAGATAATTACAATTATCCCCTACTTTGAGTTTACTGAAAATGATGGGTTGTATTTGTGTGTTTTTTAAATATAGAAAAACAACAAAAGAGAAAAGTAAATACAGTTTTCAAAGGCTTCAAAAAATTCTTTTTCATAGATACTCATGGAAAATGTGTGCATTTCTGCAAACAGTGCCAATTACTATGAAGTAATCTGGTAAGACCAAAACTCCATAGCACAATAGCTTAATGTTATTTCATACATACTCATCAACAGCTTCCTAGTAAAAAAAAAAGGTCAAAACTCAAAGGTGCTGATACCAGTAATCTAATACAGACCAACTTTCTGCCAAAACAGCAGTTCTCAAAGTTTTTTTCAGGGACTGGTGAGGGGTCTGAGACCCTTTCAAAGTCAAAACCATTTTCATAAAATTACTCAAATGCACAACTTCTTCATTTGTACAGTAGTTTTCTTAAAGCTACATGATTTGAGATA